GTGCGTGCCCAAGATCCCGAGAAGAGAAGGGATTGCGGCTTGGCCATCCCCTCTGGGGGGTGATTTCTCGTTTTCTGTCTCTCTGTCTGTCTCTGTCTGGCGAGCACACGCGCCCTATAGTGAAAAACCTCTCAAAAAAAAAAAAGAAAAGAAAAAAAAAACTTTCCGGGGACCAGCATTTGGTGTAATGGCTATGTTGCTAGACTCCCATGTAGTTGACCGCAGTTCAAGTCCTGGACCCGGTGGCTTAAACTCACGCCAGACGCATGTGGGTGCGTGCCCAAGATTCCAAGAGAATGGAGGAGAAGGGATTGTGGTGTGGTCATCCCCCCCAGGGGGTCATTTCTTGCTTCCTGTCTCTCTCTGCCTTTCCGGCCAGCACATGCGCCCTATAGCAAAAACCCCTGCAAAAAAAAAAAAAAAAAAAAAAAAAAAGAAAAGAAAAGAAAGAAAGAAAAAATCTTTCCAAGACAGGAAAGTGTAAGGGGTATTACTGTGGGTAAGAACTAATAGTGCTTATTTTTGATTGTTTATATTTTAAATTTCTCCAATATGTGTTTTTAAAATTTTAGTTTTTATGCTACAGGGTGTGTATACTAGCCAAAGAGAGACAGAGAGATAGAGAAAAAGTGAAAAATCACCCCTGCCAGGGGGCCATGCCACAATCTCTTCTCAAATCTCCTCTTGGGATTTTGGGTATGCATGCACACATGCCTGGCATAATTTTCAAGCTCCAGGTCCTGGACTTAACAAGGCACTTGTCATGTGGAATTCAGTGCATCAACCATCACACCACCTGCTGGCCCCCAAAACCTGTATTTTTTTAAAAATTTAATTTATTAAAGGATTTTTTAAATGAATGAAATCCATGAACTATTAAATATTTTAATATTAACTTCCTAATATCCACTATAATACATACATAATCATTAAATCTTAAAAAGCCTACTTTGGAGACTGTCACTATACTACATACGATATAAACCACATCTTGGGAAACATCAATTACAATCTGATAAAGATGGGAGGAAAAAGACGAGGGGTGGGAACTGACAAGTAATTATAATTTTAAGTATGTCAATAGTTGGAAGAAAAGCACTGAGCAAGGACAGCGTAAAAACAAGTCCTGGCACCAGATGGCATAATGGTTATGTCACTGGACTCCCACGTAATCGACCACGGTTCATGTCCCAGACTCAGTGAATTAAAACTCATGCTGGGCACATACGCGTACATGCCCAAGATCCCGAGAGGAGAATGAAGAAGGAACTGTGGTGTGGCCATCCTCCCTAAGGAGAGATCTCTTGCTTTCTGTCTTGGTCTGACTCTGGCAAGAACGCAGCCTGTCACAAAAATCTGTCTTAAAATAAAAAAAATTCACAAACAAAAAACAAATCCTTCATTAACTAGGGTCACAGGCACAAATGCAGAGTGTTGGCTTTAGGATAGGACATAAAAACTTTCCTGAGTTGGGAAGGTAGGAAAGAAAAAACAGGTGAAGACAGAAACTGTAAAGTCAAGAATAACATTATATTGATAGAAATGACTTAGAGTCAGCCAATTTAAAACATAATCCCTTATACATAAGGTGTTAAACCATTCATATGCAATGTCACAGAGAGGACTTTCAAAAAGAACCCAGAGATCAGTTACTGGGCTAACTGTGAAGTGTTCCACAGCTAAAATGCTTGGCAAGGCTCCCTGATCATCTTTAGCACCTCTGTTAACTGTACAAGGACCAATTTTAGGAGGTTGAATAGAAGAGGGGCTATCATACAATGGCTTCTGTTATTTCCAGATTCTTCTTGAAGGGGATTTGTTGGACAGCAAACACTTCTTCCCAGCAGAATTCTATCAAGAGTCATAGAGTATTTCCTTTATGAAAAATACTGGTGTAGGACATTTAAACAAATTTGGTCAATGGAGATCTAGCTTTACTTAAAAGGTTTACTTTATGAAATGGTCTGTCACAAACTTTTTTTAAAATAGTAAGATACCAGTAAAGACACTGATTCCTTTGTAGTTAATATCTGGTCCTGAGCCTCTGCATAGTTTCCTCCCTTCGCAGCAACTGGCTAACTTTTACTCATTTTTGTCAGTCCACCATAAGCTTCACAGTTACTAGCTAAGGTCTCTTATTCTCTTCATAGCTCTTACCACAACTGTAAATTAATTTTTTATGTAATTCTTTTTGTAAAATAATTATTTTACTTAACTTTATTATTATTATCATTTTTGAATTTGACCAGAAAAAGACAGAGTGGGAGGGAAAGCAAGAAAGCAAACCACTAGGTCTGGGACTTGAACCGCAGTCAGCCATGTGGGAGTCCAGTGCCTCTGACCACCATGACACCTGCTGGCTACTATGTAATTCTTTCAATGTCTGCCTCTCTCACCAGACTTCAAGCTTCATAAGGGAGGGCAGAGACCACATGTGTCATGTTCACTGCAAAACAGCACCCAGCAGCATAGTGTCAGGCTAAAAGGAAGAGTCCAATAAACACCTGTGACCTCTATGTAAGCTTTCTGTCATTAAGAAAATAAAATCCTGGCGAGACACAAGAAACCTTTGCTCAAACATCCTCTACTATACTCCTGGATGCCCTGTAGCTCTTGGTTCACAGAGTCCAGTAACTGGATCCTGCATTTACAAGAAACAGGGATGAAGAATTAGAAACATTTGAGTAGAAGTCTTAACTATATCTCTACATTCCATTACTACATTCCACCTTCCAGCCTGCAGAGATAAACAGCAACAAAGGCAACAAGTGAAATATAAACTTATCAGGCCAGCCTGTGGCGTGGTAGTTAAGGAGGCTGGATCCTACATGGCTGTTAGGTTTGTGTCCCTGACCCTGCAGCTTGAGAAACATGCCCGGCACGTATGCCCAAAATCCCAAAAGGAGAGAGAAATGGACAAGGGATTGTTGCATGACCATTTCTCATGAGGGCTGCTTTCTTATTTTTCCTGGGTCTGTCTGTCTGTCTGTCTGTCTGTCTCTCTCTGGTGAGCACATGTGTGCTCTGGCAAAATTAAACAAATAAACTAAGAAACTTAACATCTCCTAAAAGGAGGCTTACTAAAGAGCTGCTATATCTGCCCGCATTTTAAAAAAAAAAAAAAAAGAGGAGATTTGCAATGTTGCTTGCCATCAAGCAATCCCAAATTGTTTGAAAAATTCAGCATTATAGGAAGTAAGATCTTAGAAATATGTAGAGTGAACAAAATGTACTGTTTTAAGGACAGTTTTATGAAGAAATAAAGGGGAATAACTGATGTGGTTAAAGATTGAACACGTTTCCACTTTCTCACTTCACAGCAGTGCAGGGAGAAGCAGGAGGAAAATGCGGCACAGAAATGCATGACACAGGGAATTGTGTTCATATCCACCAACAAATACTGCATGCTGACAAGAGGACGTTACCAGAATCAAGAGAAACCAGTTGGTAATCAAACTGGGGAAAGGAGGACTATGAGATCAAAGCCTGACGCTGCCACACTAAAGGCAGGAAGGAGAGAAAGGTGGAAAGGCACAAAGCCACCTCCAGGAGCAGCACCCATTAGATAGGAATGGCCAGATGCTAAGAAAGCTCAAGGTACAAGAGGCAATATTCAGGGCAGGAATAAAACAGCAAAAGAATCAGGCTTTAAGATGGAAAGCTGTCAGCAGGGAGAGGCTATAACCCTTGAGGGCAGGACACACAGGGAACATTCAGAACTGACAATGATCATTTGCTACAGTAATTTTGACTGATTCTTCTCCCTTTGACAGCACTAATCTTCCTAGTATATTTAAAGAGCCCTTCCACATTTGCTTGGATTAGTCTTTTACATATGCACTGCAATATGTACTGTTGAAACACCACCTAGGAAAAACTTAAACCTATCAGCAATCTGCTGCACTACTAAATACTACAGGTCAGCTGCGTGAGGACAGACCATCCCTCCCAACTATAGAAAAGCGAGATTTAGGCCTGCTAGGGATTTAGGCCTAAGAGGTACCAAGTCCTCACCAGAGCCCAGTCCTCTGGAAGGGACAGGCCTGCTATTAGAGGCTATCTTCCCTTCTGCCCTGACTGCTCCATGGCAACTGCTCTGGTTTTGATTTGTAACCACCTTAGGGCTCACAACTTTCGCTTAAGTCCAAATCAGTGGTTTTCAATGTTTTAAGGAGATATGAAGAGGGGAGGCTGTGAGTGGAACTTGGCTCTCCTAAACTCAGTTTCTCCAAAATATGTTGCTTTACATATTGGAGTTGAAGGTTAAGAATTCAGAGGGAGAAATTGTTTCACTCCTTTAAGAGGTCTCAAAAATCAAAATCTTGGGTAAGGAGGACAGTGGAGGCATGGAACCGATAAGCACTGCAAAGTACATTTTGAACCATTCAATTCTGTGTTTAATCGGATCTTGGAATGGACAGTGAATTTTCATATCTCCTCCCACTCTCCGTAATATAAGGGAGAGTGGGAGGACACTGGAGAATAAAATGATATATTTCAGTGAAATGATTATTTCTCATTACATGGCAAATCAACTTGGGCACGACCAAAACTGGGATGTGTGTGTACTGGCACACGTATTAGTTTCTGCCGGCCACAAAACTGACAGGTGGAAGGCAAAAGGCGTGCGGACACATAGGTGAACACTTCCCTCTTACAGAAAGCGAAAGACTCAACAGCACATATCCTAACGGGCAGGGCTTCTCTGGTCGGCAGAGGCCTCTACTTCCTCCATTCTCAGGAGCCACGGGCGATCCTGACTTAGAGTAAGCCACTGAGTCCCTGCTCTCGGTAGATGGGCAGGCTTCCCTTAGTCAAGGAGATTAGGGGGCCGCCTCTCCCCCTTCGGGACGATGAGGACAAATCAGGCGGCATGCGCTGGCGCTGTAGCGACCACGGCCGCGACACCGGGAAAGGGGCTGTATCTGCGGCGCCCTACACCCCCCAGGCCTGTCAGCTCCTCATCGCCCACCCACCCCCATTCTGCAGTCTAAACTTACCAAGTGGAAGCTACAACCCCCGGCAGGGTGTAATGAACCGAACTGGGTCGGGCCGAGTTCCGCTGCGCTTCTCAGAGCCGCTGCTGGGACGAGGCTGAAACCCAGTAGCCGCAG